TTTTTTTTTTTTTTTTTTTTTTTCCTTGAGTTCTTAAGCTTCAATGAAGATAGGTTTAGTTCATCGATAAAAGTGATTCAACTTTTCATCCCGGCACGCTTCCCAAGATGCCCCAAGTGCGGTCTTCGCGGGTCCAAAGTCCAAACATCGCCTGAAATTCTTTTAGAAAATGTAGGACCCCATATTGAACACCGAAACGACGACGCTGACACTTGGCATAAGACAAAAGATGCGTAGTTCCTACTTCCTAGACAGTTGACACCCACTCTAAAATCACAGATATAACTCAGCCTAAACCAGTTTATTCTAATCCATTCCAACCTCGAATCTGGTGCACCGAAGGAAGTAACAAGATTTTAGCAGTAACTTTTCCACGGATTTCAAGGGCATCCGTTTCATTTTCGAAGAAGCACAATTTTTGGTCCCAATGGAAATGTACTATTGAAAGTTAGTTCCCCAACTAGAAACCGCCACAAGTACTTTCGATGAGTGCCACATTTTCCTTGCACAAACAACAAATTACCAAACTTCCTTTCCTGCCAACAGGAAAATCTTAACCCACTTCAATGGTGAAGGCCTTCCGTTTTTGTCACACCCTCCCCTCATAAAGAACCACATTGCCACTCTTTTTCAGACCATCACAGAACTCTAATTATGCAGTGATTAAAAATTACTGTCTCCAACTCATTCGATCATTTATTACTATTTAATTTTTAAAATAACTTGAAACATTTTTTTATTTACCCTCTAAACCACCTCAGGTTGGCCTTGTCTCAAGCTATCCATTTGGCCGGCATATCAATCAATTTCTGGTCTCCCTGAAATGGGGCAGTCTTAACGAGAATATATGTAGCTCATCACTATTAACCCTCAAATAAAACACAAGAATCATACAAATTTTTCTTTAAGAAGCCACGATTTCATAATCTTCCTCTCCGAATCCTTTTGGAATGCTTGAAGTGAGACTCCCCTATAGATAAAACTTATGAAAATCTGAGCTACAATCCTACAACCAACCATTACATATCTTCCTTGTCCAAATCCAAAGTATTGTTTATTAGTTATTTGACTTTCATCTTTCTGCTTCACGAAGAGATTTCCTCTGTTACACCAATGGAACTATAGTGAACTAGATTAATCATCCCAAAACTATACCATGTTTGGCTTTTTTCTCGGTCCAAATAGTAGTCTAACAAAAAAAAAAATTATTAGGAAATAAAATAGGCAGTCTTAATCACCCGTGATTGTAGCACAATCTTAACCGGCCTTAATTTCTCCTAGAGTTAATGAATTTGTTTTCTAAGGATTACAGCACATAATTTACATCCCAGTGATAAATCAATCTCATCATATCACACGTGGAGCCAGTAATAAAGTAAGAATATGACAGGAGGCTAATAACTTGAGGATGACAAAATTGGTTAACCTTTTTTTTCTTCTTCTTTGTATGAAGAAATCTCTCAGCTACTCACCTTTCAATAAATTTTAAAATGGACTAATTTGATATATGACCGAGGCTTTTGTCAAACCAAGCTAAAAGTTTTAGTTCTAACAAAATGTGGGTGGAGAAATTTGAATCTCTAATCTCTAAGTTAAGGATATATGTCTCAACCATTTGACATATTCTCAAATAACAAACTAAAACTACTTTTTGAATGCATGTTCTTGCATTTTAACGATTATACTTAATATTTGATCGGAATAATCCGAGTCCTGCAATTTTAGAAGAAAATCTGAGCTTCACATGAAGAACAATTCTGAGAGTGGATTGCATAAAGCAGGAACAATTCAAATTTCCAGTACATTCACAGAAGCGACTTCGTAGAAGGTATGGATATGCTCTACTTCTGGGTGTGTTTATAATATACCGAAAATCTTTTCACGTTTGTGGGCACTCCTTACTCTGTCAATACACTCCAGGAATTACGAAATTATAGGCTACTTTTGTAATGAAGAATTTCGAGTAAAGGGACAACATGGGCACAAAATCTTCCTATTTATGAACTCTTTTGAGAAGAGGGTTGCCTCTAAAAAAATGAAAGTATAGCTATAAAGAGATGTAGCCTTCTTGGAAAAGGAGAATTCAGAACATTAGATTTAGAATCTTTTTCACCTAAGGTTTTCTTCTTCATTAGCAATCTCTATCTCTCGACCTGATTTTCACCTCTGCACTGCAATGGGAATAAAATAAATAACTACCTCTAGGTTAATTAAATTATTATTATTATTATTATTATTATTATTTTCCGACCTAGGCTACCTTGTGCATACCTTAATTGTCTCATCGGACAACTATTTGATCCTATAATATTTAGTTGCTAAGAAAACTAGACAGATTTAACATCTAACTCTACAACATTTGGTTACCAAGAAAACTCAATTTTAACCCAATATACTCCATAGTTTAGTTTGAATTAAGAGCATGCAAAATTCAGTAAACTAATTAGTAATATGTAGAAATATGAAATTAAAAAAACAAAAAAAAAAAAAAAACAAGTCAGGCATTTCGCAGACAAATATTATCAAAATATATAAATTCAGATGCAGAAGGTCAACATGTACACCATCGGTAAAAGCAAATGATAAAATAAATACATGCAATTGACATGAAAAAACTGAGAAAGAAAGTAGCAAATCAAGAACTGATATTCAGGACTTCAAAGCTGCTAGTCATTTAAAGAAAATAACTAGTCCATCAATTCAAGTTTCATTTAATCACAGAAAAGATTATTAACAAAACTTAGTTCGATAAACTAGACTATACTTATTTTTAAAAAACTGAGAAAAGAAAGTCGAAAAACATAAATTAATTCTGAACAATTCAATTTTTACAAAAATAATTTTTTTAAAAAAGATCGAAAATCAAAATACTGTTTCGTATTTTCTTTCTTTCTTTCTGTTTTTTTTCCAGAAAAGTTATTTTAAAAAATCTTTCAGTAAACTTGGAAAATAAACGGAAAGAACATATAAATAAAGTCGAGAACAATCAATCAAATTTAAAGAACGAAGAATAACAGTTATCTTACGTATACAGGTAGGTCGAAGCGACCAGGTCACAGCATTACCATTACGATCTCATCCTCCTCCGCTCGTTTATCGCATCCGCTTATGGAGTTCGCAGCCGCATTTCCATTGCTCTGAGCAAACCGATTACTATCCTTCCGTGGTCGTCCTCGCCGCCGCTTAATCGGAGCGTAACTGCTATCGATGATATCAACAGGAATACTGTGAAAAATCGCGTAGGAAGATTCAGGTACCGATTCATCATAAATGTGGTTAACAAGAACCAGGTCCTCATCTCCATCATCATAGCTGTCATTGACGCCACAATGAGACTCTCCAACGAAGAGCTGCTTGAAGAGAGTAACAATCTCAGCGCTCTCTTCATCGAAGCGGTCAGGGGATTGGGGGCGAATTGTGGAGGAGGAGGATGAGGAAGGAAACTGAGATTTGCGAGGGGCAAGACGAAGACGAGAATAGGTTTGTTTCCGGCTACCGGCGGACTCGTTGAAGACAGATCGATCAATTTTGGGGATTAGAACGTCGTCGTCGTTGTTGGATTGGGACATTGAAGACGACGATGAGGAGGAGAAACGAGAGAGACAATAGAGTTCGGATTGGGAGAGGAGACGGAGATCTATGATCGGGAGAGTATTCATGCGGAATCTGTCGTCGGAGGGGGAAGCAACCATAGTTGTGGAAGCCATGGATATGGCATGAGGTCCTGTAAATTGCGAAAAAAAAGGGAGGGAGAGGGAGAGGGAACAACGAAAGGGAGAAGCGCCACTGTTAAAGGGGATAACCAGTTTCAAACTGGGCCTTGGCCCAACTTATTGCCATTGGGTCGGCCCACTCTATTTTCCCACCGGGCCTTACCCTAGAATTATTAAAATAATCGATATAAATATATTTAAATAAATAAATACAAATGAATCCACTTTCTCTTAAAAAAAATATTTACAGCAGCAGAAGCTTCCAGAATCTTCATGTCTTCCTCTTACAGTCTCTCCACTAAACCTTTCTAGGGTTCATATTTGTTCCAAGATTTCTGGTTGTTGGTTTTCACTCTTCTATCCCTGCTCCATTCTCGAGGTTTGTCGATTCTCTTTTGTTTTCCTCTGTTTTTCACTATGTTTCGAATTCGATATGTTGACTGAACCTGAAACTTCTGTTTAGGGATTGTTTTTTTGATTTAGCTTATGACATTGAAAAGATTTGTGAACTTCAATCAATCAATAATGTTATGAGGATATGCATATGAATTTGTGCGGTTGTTTTCTTTTAGCATAGAGAACGTTCGTCCTTAGTTCTTAGTTATTACTAAACTTAAGTGAAGAACATTTAGTGATTATGCTAATCTTAGTTGTTTCTTCATTTGGTTTCAAGAGTTTTGGTTTGAGATGTTTATGGGGGCAAGGATTTGTTAGGGTGTTCATAACTTGTCTACGAAAGATGGAACTGAAAAGGGAGATTTGGACGTGGAAGGGGATGATCATATGTTTATAAGTAAGGAATAATCTCCACTGGTATGAGGCTTTTGGGAAACCATAAGCAAAGTCATGAGAGCTTATACTCAAAGTGGACAATATCATATACTATTGTGGAGGTTCGTGATTCCCAATGTGATATCAGAGTCATGCCCTTAATTTAGCCATATCAATAAGATCCTCAAATGTCGAACAAAGGAATTGGGAGCCTCGAAGGTGTAGTAAAAAGTGACTCAAGTGTCGAATGAAAGGTGTACTTTGTTCGAAGGCTCCAGAGAAAGGAGTTGAGCCTCAATCAAAGGGAGCCTGGTCGAGGGCTCCATAGGCCTCAGGGGAGGCTCTATTGTATACTTTCTTCGATGAAAGGATTGTTAGTGGAGAGTCCCACATCAACTAATTAAGGAGATGATCATGGGTTTATAAGTATACATCTCCTTACTTTAGCGCTTCAGAGATGTGAGATCCCACATCGGTTGGAAAGGAGAACAAAGCATTCTTACTCTCCCTAGTAGACGCATTTTAAAAGGCTTGAGAGGAAGCTCAAAAGGTAAAGCCTAAAGAGAACAATATTTGCTAGCAGTGGGTTTGGACCGTTAAAATGGCATCAGAGTCAGACACTGAGCGATGTGCCAGTAAAGAGGTTGAGCCCCGAAGGGGGTTAAACACAAGGCGGTGTGCTAGTAAGGACGTTGGGCCCCGAAGGAGGTGGATTGGGGGGTCCCATATCGATTGGAGAAAGGAACGAGTGCCAATAAGAACGATGGGCCCCAAAGGAGATAGATTGTGAGATCCCACAATCGGTTGGGGAAGGAGAACGAAGCATTGTTTATAAGGGTGTGAAAAACCTCTCTCTGGCAAACACGTTTTAAAACCTTGAGAGAAAACCTAAACAGACCATATTTGTTGGCGGTGAATTTAGGCTGTTACAAGAAAACTTTGGCTTTTTACCACTTTACCACCTCGTGTGAAGTACAGGATTCCTCTCAGATGGGCCCGTAGAAAAGATAGTTATCTGTAAATATTACTGCTGAGGAAATCCTTTCTTCAGGAAGCTTAACCAAGAGGTCTGTAGATTAGCTATTTTCTCGTTTATTTAGTCGATGTGACCGTCCTCTGAGTATGAACTGTAGTTGTGTTTGCAGGATGATGATGTAGAAAGAGCAGATATCATTCCATTCTGACTCTTCCATGTTTGAAGGCATAGAAGATTACTCCCACCAAATTGGAGGGATGATTGGGCTAATAAATGCATCCAATCTAATATCATACAGGAGTAAGTAAATTTATATTTAGAGTCAGCAAACTTAACTCAGCAGATTATCGGTCCTTTCACTCATCCTTGCCATACGTGAGATCCCACACGATTGGAAAGGGGAACGAAGCATTTCTTATAAAGGTGTGGAAACCTCTCCTTACTAGATATGTTTTAAAAACCTTGAGAGGAAGTCCAGAAGAGAAATACAAAAGAAGACAATATATGCTAGCAATGGGCTTGGGTGGTTACAAATGGTATAGGAGCCAGACACCGGGCGGTGTGCCAATGAGAACACTGGGTCTCCAAAGAAGGTGGATTGTGAGATCCAACATCGGTTGAAGAGAGGAACAAAGCATTCTTTGTAAGAGTGTGGAAACATTTCCCTAACAAATGCGTTTTAAAAACCTTGAGGGGAACCTTAGAAGTGAAAGCTCAAATAGGACAATACTACTAGCAGTGGACATGGGCTGTTACAGCTTTCTCTACAACAAAACCAATCAAAAAAGATGGAACGTTATTCGTGAGTTTACCGAGAGCCTGATCATAAAATTTGTCTATTGCCATGTTATCTTGATCGTTTGCTATACTCTGCTTGTAATCTTAGGAACTCTGGCTCAGGTCCATCTCTATACAGTAAAGGTCATTATGTCAAATCTCAATATTATCAACCTCTTGACTGCAATCATTGGAACAAAAAGCTCTAGGTGGGTACTTGTGGAAGAGAGGACATGGCCTTCTAGAGCTAACTTAAACAAGAGTGAACTTGAAGTATATGGTAATGATTTTCTTCTGTTATTGATTATTAAAGGTACTTGGATGAAGTTCTTACATCCCCACTCATGTTCTCAGATCACTGAGTTCCAATGATGACGATCCTTTGCCCTCATATAACATGTTACATGTCACAATTGCACTATTGCGGCAGTAAAACGACGATGGTGCGATATTTGTTCTAACCCAGTGAACATGTCGGCTATGTGAACACTTCGCAGACAATAATGGTATATGCTCGAGTCTCAGATCACGTTTGGGGCATTTGATAGCATATAACTTAAGTAGGCAACAATAATGGCTTTGATAGCAGCATATAACCTAGGTAGGAAGATTTGACAACTAGTCACATCCTCGCATTTTACATTTTGGGGCATTTTAGTCTAAGTGGGTGTAGACATGATTTTGTGACTGATCATACACCCCCTACACCCCTTTACTGAAACAACAAGAATAAAAATAATAGGAGCCTACCTAACATGAAAATAAGTAAAAACGATTTAGAACGAGCATGCAGCCTTGGACAACACGTCTTGGAAAAAGCATGATCAAGGCATCTGACACGTAGTCATAGGCAACACGTTTTGGACAAGCATAATGTTACATATAATATGGTGCATGCTGATGGTATCTTGTCCCCCTTGAAGCTCCTCAACATCGTTGCTCCATGCTTTATATGTTAACTGAGATTGATCGGTTACTCGTCTTGAGGTAATCAAATAAAAGTTTATTTCTGGTTAGTTTTAGTCATTGAATATATATAATCGTAAGTGATCCAATCTTGTAATGATGAAGGTAGATGAGATTCCATGAAAAAGTTGATAAAGCTTAACCAAATACAGCAAATGTGATTCTCATATGGGTGATGTACATAGACAAAATAATGGCCCTTCCCATTTCCATCAATGTTCTCTAAACCAACTTAGCTAAGCTATTATATTATCAAATAAATTAACTACCAATAATTCCATCGTCAAATCATTCAATATCTTGATGATCATATTAAGATCATCATGGATTACCTCGAGTCATGCCCGAGCACCTAGTGGTTATCGGCTTAGTTAAAATAAATAAATAAATCTCGGTTAGTATTTATTCTTTGAATTAAGAAGTCAAAATTTTAAATTGATATATTGTTGAAAAAAAAAAGTCAACGGATCAATTAAAATTTATTTTTATAAAAGCTTATTATATAACATTTTAAACTCAAATGGTTGTAATTAATGATGTATTAATATTAATATTATTTTAATTTCCAATATCTTAAAAATAATTAAAGAAAATTCATAAATAGTTTATATGGTTGGAAGCTATTAATGGGTTGAATATATGACTATTATAAGCCACAGTAAGTAAATTGTATCATGCTCAATCGATAAATTGATAAGAATCGTTTAAGAAAGTTTATCAAATTACAGAAATACAATTTCAATTTTCAAGACCTAAATTATAATTTTCTCGGACTAAATTTACAAGTTTCTTAAAAGAGTTCAAACTATCATGATTTGCCAACTCTCCCGATCCTCGAACGAGCTCTAAATTTATTATCTTAATGAACAATTTCAAATTGAATAAATAAAAATATAATCGAAACACGTGAAATGTAGATTAGAATTCGATGTCATAATTGAATTGAGTTAAATATTTTTTTTAAAATAGCATATATTATAGTTAATAATATAATATTTTAACAGCGAATCTACGTTCAAATTGGTAAAAATATTAATTAGGTTAGATATCTCCCGTTCCCGTTGAATAATAATTATATTATAAGATTAAATTTATAATTTAATTGATGTATTTTAAATTTTTAGAAGTATATATATATATATATATATTAATTTATGGATATTGCGAGAGGCCAACCAGAACCCAACCCCTTTCTTCAACAGTTCAAATCCGTCTCTGCAAAATTAAGAAATTCCTCTCCCATGGCCGCTACCGAACAAACAAAGAACACCAACGCCACATAACAACCCTTCCAATTTCTTATATAAATCTCCAATTAACCTTCTCTGTCTTCTTAATTCATGAACATCATCGTCCACCACACCCACCGCCGCCCTCCTTCCTCCTCCTCCTCCTCCTAATCCTTCCTCCGCCGCCGCCATGGCCGATCATTTCTCCAATCCCCCGCCGCTCTTCGGCGACACCACATGGACCAAAGTCTTCGTCGGCGGTCTCGCTTGGGAGACCAAATCCGACGAAATGCACAGATTCTTCCAACAGTTCGGCGAGATTCTCGAAGCCGTCATAATCAAAGATAAAATCACCGGCAAATCCAAAGGCTACGGATTCGTAAGTTCCTTATTTCTCTCCGATTCCGTTTCCGGTTGAGATTTTAATTCCGCCGTCTCCGATTTTGTAATTAGGTCACTTTCCGAGATCCTCAATCGGCGAGAATGGCCTGCGCCAATCCAAATCCGATTATCTGTGGAAGACGAGCAAACTGTAACATCGCCGTCTTCGGTCCGCCTCGTCCGCCGCCGTCCGGAGGTATCTTCGATTAACTTTCCTAATCTCTTATCGGAAAACGATCAATTGATTTCAGTTAACATTCTTCTCGATTTTACAGGGAGAATCCAAAGTACAGCGTCGTACGGCGGGATACGGCCGTCGTTTCCGCCGCCGCCGGTCATTTTCCCGCCATACAGGTACATGATTCTTCGATGGCGACAATGTTACAAGGAACCAACAATTTACCTCGACAGGAAGTCAAATGTTTTTTGTTTTTTTGTTTCTTTTTGCAGATACCGATCCTACGCCCCAAATTACACAGTACCTTATGGCTATGGCTATGGCATTGGGTACGGCCATGGCTATGGCTATGGTCATGGCTATGGCTATGGCTATGACTGTTCTTCATCATCACCGGCTCCAAGAGCGCCATTTTCATCACCATCATCAGCAGCAGCACCCTATGTTCCGTACTATATGAATCAGGGCTTGTTCTACTCTCAGATGCACCAGATTATTCCTCCCAGTACTGGTAATTATTTATCGTTCTATTAAATTCTTGTTTTATTTTGATAATAATATCATTATTGGGCGGGGATCGTCTGGAGAGAAACACATGGGTCATGGCCTGCGCCCATGTGAGGACTGAGCTGTCTGATGGGTCATTGGCCATTCACAACCCCATGAATAGGGGTGTATGAAACGCCATGCCAGATAGGATTTTTAGGTTTGTTTCCAAAGTTTGTGTAATAATTCAATCTTAAGTAGATATTGTTCTCTTTGGATGTCTTTTTTTAGTTTTCCTTCAAAATTTTAAAACGTTTATATTATGTAGAAGTTTTCACACCCTTCTAAATAATGTTAGATGAACACGACTCTAGTAACTTTGCTTTGGGCTTCCCAAAAATGCTTCATATCAATGAAGAGAGTATTATTTGATTATAAACCTCTGTTCCATCCTCCTTAAAGGTCAGCAAAACACACTATCCAGTGACTGGCTCTAATACTGTACTAGTTCAAGTCAGTCTATAGAGTACAATATCTGCTAGTTGTAGGTTTGGACTGTTATAAGTTGGATTTTAAATTAGTTTGATAAATAATCCTAATAGATAATATGAAAAAGTTAGTTATGTAGCATTTTAATACTTAAAATGTGTAAAATAGGTAATATTTTAAAAAGAATATAAAAAAAACATTCTAAAATTATTCCACATAAAACATAATCCAGACAAAAAATAATATCGAGACACGAAAAACAAAATTCAATTATTCATAGCGAGTATTTTCTTATAATTATCATAAATAACAAAAATCTAATTATTCATTGGTAAGACATATCTTGTCGGGTGTCTTTTGATGTTACATGTCTATTATTTAGATCTATTAGACACAAAATTTAAGGTATATGTAGACATTAAATTGTTAATTTAATTATTAACCTAAGTTTAAAAAATATCATATGATCAAATTATATACATAAAAATGTAATTTATGTATGTTTTTGGATGTGAGTGTTCAGGTTGGGAGACTCCGCAGCATACTCCAACGGACACAGAAGCTGGAGGCAGTGACTTCAATAGCCCAAACTCTTCATAGAATCCTGTTTATATTATATTATATTATATTATAATAATAATATTATTATTATTATTAAGCTGTAAATTAATTTTCTGTTAGTTTAATTAGTTAATTTGTACCCTAAACTTTCAATTTTATTCCCTCCTTAAGTAAATTAATAAATACATACTTTTTAGATTTACCTTTTTTTTTTTATCTTTCAACCATAAAATCAAACAAATCGAACTAAACGAGGTATCTTAAATGTAATCTAGGTAACATTATTAGTGTCGACGTTCATTATTGGTTCTTATATTTATTGTTGGGTTGAATTGATGGAAAATCGAAGAGTTTAATTGGATCAGTTTTCGCGCGCATTTTCAATAGGGTTAGTATGCTTCCCGACAAGGTAACGTAATTTGACGAATTTCTCTCTATATATATATATATATATATTTTTTTTTTTTTTTTTTTTTTTTTTTTTTTTTTTTTTTTTTTTTTTTTTTTTTTTTTTTTTTTTTTTTTTTTTAATGAGGTGTTTAGTGCACTTTTATCAGACAAAGAAGTCCTACACATAGTTAGAGATGTTCATGGAGTAGGAACGGAGAAGTCTTCCCCTTCTCCATTCCGTCATCTATTTCTTGTCTCTGCAAAATTTTTCATTTATTTTTGCAGATATCAATAGATATTTGAAAGTTTTATTTTTAATATTATATTTATTAATAAATTAACCGTTAAATAAAAATACTAATCTATAATAAATAAATAAATAAAATTTTGTAAAATAGAAGAAAAGAAATATCCATTGAAGGGGACTTTTTTATTTTTACTATTTACTGATTTTTTAAAGACATTTCATATTTATCATCATATATACATTATAAGGTCACATGACCAACCACATCTCTTTCTCAAAATGACTAAAATACCCTCCCGAATCAAACCAGAGTTGAACACCGAGCAGTTACAGGATCGTACAACGCCGGCAAAAGGTACTTTCTAGTTCCGACGCCAACGGCATTATAGCTGCTGCCGGTGGTGCCATCCTGCAGTAGGTCACCAGCGTATCCCGGATAAGCCCCTTTCCCGTACACCCCGGGGCAGGCAGTCGCCACCTCCAGCGGCGCCGCCGGCGACCCGAGATAGTAGCCGTCTCCGAATGGGTTCGTGGCGGTTCCGGCCAAAAGAGTGGCGATGTTGATTATCATACCATCGAGTCCGACGTCGGCGTTGGGCGGTATGAGCGGCGGCGTTTGTGGGCCGTAAATGGGCTGGTGGAAAGGCCAGGCGCATTGACCCGGACATTGACTCACCGAGTTGCCGACCCATACGAAAGACGATTTTGATTTGTGGTCCCAATCGTGAAACCCGCAGCTGCTCATACAGAAACCTTCGACGGCGACGTCCTCCGCCGTGAGAACCAGTGTCACGCCGCCGTGTTTCGAGCCGGCCCTCCCTGACAACTCTGAAATTTGAAGCTTCTTTAGGAGTTTCCCAATGGAGTAGCTGTCGTCTGTCACTTGGTTGGCTAAAATCACCCGAGCCTCTTTCTTTCCGGCTCTTTTCATATAAACCTGAATTAATAGAAAAAAAAAAATAATTAAAAATTTATATATATATATATATATATATATTTGTCTTTTATTACTCCATCTAATCTTACATAATTTATTATATATATCATATTTGACTTTTTATTAATTAAAAATATATAAATATTATTATTATTATTTTTTTATATCATTTTACTCTATTAATATCCGTTATTCCCATTTATTATTTTATCTATATCCTTAATAATTTGTTCGATGAATATAAATAAA